GCATGATGCAGAGAAACAATTACTATCACATGAGTGGGCAAGAGGCTATTTCATTTTATGGTTGGACAAAAACCACTGATGTGTAGTGTGAAGATGTTCTTGGCATACTTGTAGTACATCTGTGAGGGAGAATAAATGCCCTGTGGAGATTAGTTTGCTCATCTCTAAAAATCCATGCTTTAGGAGAAATTTTTTTAAAATTTAGTTAACGGTTATATCGTAAGTCATAATGGAAACTAGAAAAGTTCTTAAGGAGTACCATTTATGAATTCATAGAGGAACAGTTGTTTTGTCAATGATATGCCCCCTGACCTTGATTCACTGTGAAGGAAATTGTGACATTTGAAAATATAATCAGGTCTATATTATTTGCTATAGGCCAACACATCTGCTTTTGTAGGACAAATATCTGCCTTTACATATTGCCATATCCTGACATGTACAGAATTTTTTAAATGAGGGATAAGCCAAAAACATTTCTTTCATTCAAATGCAAGTAGAAACCACTTCCATTATTTCATTTGTATTGCTCAAGTGTCATATCTCAGCAATATGTTGAATATCTGGCATACTTTAATCTTATTACTTTGAAACATGATGTATAAATTTAAGGATAAGATGGTGGAACCCAGGCCCTGGCCAGGTAGATCAGTTAGTTAGAGCGTCATTGATATGCCAAGGTTGCAGGTTTGATCCCCAGTCAGGGCACGTACAAGAATCAACCAATGAATGGGTAAATAAATGGAACAACAAATCAATCAGTATCTCTCTCCCTCCCTCTTCCTCTCTCCCTCTCTTTTTTCCTCTCTCTCTCAAATCAATCAAATAAAAAATTTAAAGTTAAAAAAAAGAAGATGGAGGTACCCAAAGCTAAAAACTGTATTTCCCAGCCTCTCTTGCAGTTAGGGTTGTGGATGTGACTTAAATCCACCAATTAGATGCACTCATTAGAAATCTGGAGGGCAGAAGAGAAGGGAGGTTGCGTTTGGGCTGCTGCTACTAACAAGCACTGTCATGAAGATGTCCAAGTTTTCTGCAGCAGCATTTGTAGAGGTCTTCATGTCTAGTCACAGGTTTCCTAGGTATCAAGAAGAAGGGCACAAGGCATTCATTCTCTCATACGGGCTGTGGCAGGTGTGGCTTGACTCCAGAGCCAACTGCAGTGACAGCAGCTTCCTGATGAAGATGGCTGTTTGCTGATGGCTGTTTCCTAGTTGTGGCAGATTCCTGATCATGGCAGAGGTGACCAGGTTGTGAGACAAGCAAGCTAAAAGTTACAGCTTCCCAGTTCTGCAGGCACCTTCTAATCCTAAAGGAGATAGTAACCCTCCTGGTGGTCCAGCTGCAGTGTGGCTTTTGAGTGTCATTCCTGAAAGTGCAACATAGAGTCTATTTCCACAGTCTTTCCAACAATTCTATAAGCCACTTAAAATCTTTTACTAAATCTCTTTCTACTTAAACTAGCTAGAGTTGATTCTCTAAACCTAATCCTGGACTGGTTTCTTTTCTTACCCTTTATTTCTAACAAATTAGAAGATTCCATCCTACATTACTAGTCTTCAGAGTTGGGGAAATCTTTCAGCTAGATGTGGCTGTCTGGATCAAACATGGACTCAGAAGTGACAGAGCAGTATCTCACTAAAAACCACTTTTATCGTTCCATGAGATAGCGAGGTAAACAGCACAGCACACCCAAAAGGTAGATGCTTCAACTTGGGAAAGGAAGACAAATGGGTCTTAATTCCTCACTCTTCTCTTTTCGTGTAGTTTGATATAAAGTGTGTCCTATTAAGATAATCTCTTTCTGCTTAGAGATATAGTGGGTACAACATTATTTTTATTCTCTAACCACTAGTTACTTCACTTTTGATTACTTTTTTTACAAAGTGGCAGTTAATTATTTTGATTTATGTTTTTTATAAAATGCCAATTAATTACTGTATTTGGAGTTGTAGTTTAAAGTCTTGATAACTGACTTAACCAATGTATTTGTATGATTAATTGGTAAACTGGGCACTGATTAGGTGAATTCACTTTCAGTATAATTTATTTGAACATTAGTGACAGATACAGAGTACAGATTATGATAACTGCTTTTATAGGAAGTGATGTGAGTGCATTTTATATATTACACAGAACTTAAGTTTTTATTTATTCTAAGTAAATATATGATAATGTGTCAAGTTCACTGGATAATCCCCATGATCTCTCTCTTAAAAAGGTGGGTGGTGCGCCCGGCCGGGCTTGGCTCAGCGGTTGAGCATTGACCTAGGATCCAGGCGATCGGGGTTCGATTCCCGGTCAGGGCACATGCCCGGGTTGCGGGCTAGCTGATCAGTGACTCTCATCATTGATGTTTCTATCTCTGTCTCTCCCTCTCCTTTCCTCCCTCTGAAATCAATAAAGATATATTTTAAAAAAAAAAAAAAAAGTGGGTGGTGGAAATGTGTACATTTAATAGTGTAGTTTTCTTGAACATCATTTATGTGAATGAAACAGGAACATATTCAAGGGTAATGATTTAGTGTTCCAGATTTTCTCATTAGATATAAAGCATGTCTATTATGATTTAATTCCAAATTTGTTTACATGCCAGGCCCTATAGAGCGACCTAATTGGATTTTTGGTTTAAAAAAACAAAACAGATTAGAGAGAGAGGAGACATCAAAGAAGAAAGAGAGACGTAAAAGAACAGAAGGTTGAAAATAATGAAAAAAGAATTGCTGAGCAGTGCCCTGGAGCGAGAGGGAGGGAATGGGGTAGAGAGAGCACAGGTAGATGGATGAGCTACAGACGAGTTTTGGATGAAAGGAGGGGCATCTAGTCTTTTAAGGAAGAGAATGGATGGATACAAAAATCAAATATGTATTATTTTTCCTGTTAAGAAACAGGTTTATTTGTAAAGCCCAGCCCATATGAGGCAGTTTTGGGGTCATTTAAAAGATTAGATTCCTTGATTCTTTTTTGAGATGAACATAAGTATTTTTATATATTATGCTTAAATGGTAAATTGATTTTTTTCTAATTTCCCAATGACAAGTTTAATAACAATGAGTATCTTACTGGTGCCTTTCTGTTGATTTTCTCATTTTAATTTTTAAAAAGTATTTCTTTATTGAGTTTTTCATAGGTGCTTCTTGACTGATAAACTTCTTTAAAATATGTTAGTTTAGATGGCCTTTAATTTTAAAGTTGATAGCAAGAAGAGACTTGTTATATATTCCAAACCTTTACCATGAAAGCTGCTTCAGTGATTTGTCTTCAGTGATTTGTCTAAGCAGCTAAATGACTTACAGTAAGTCATTTAGCCACTTAGTAGCAGAGGTAAGACGGGAACATTGGTTTCATGATTGTTAGGGCAAAGCTCTTTTCCTTATGCCAACTGCCTTGTTTTCCTAATTAGTACACTGGTGTCTGGTTTCAGCACTCACACTTTTGTGTGTCCTTATGACCCATGAGCATCTCACAAGAACTTCAAAACTAGACTTACTGGCTTCTTTAATATTCATTCAACAAATACTCTTGTGTCTTCCTTACTGTATGGCAGTCCTTGGGGATCAAGTTCTCAGGCCTCAAGAATGAGGAAACCAGAAAATAGACACTTAAGTAACATTAACAGAGTTTCAGATAGTTATAAATGCTATCATGAAAAGAAACAGAGAAATAAAATGTGGTAACAAGAGTCGGAGAAGGTTTCTCTGAGGAAGTGACATTTGAGCAGAAAACTGAATGATAAGAGCCGGCTATGGGTTAGAGCACTCCAGGCAGAGGCCCTAAGCTTGAGCAAGCTTGATGTGGTTGATGAATGGAAAGAACATGAACACTGGGGAGAGTGGGAGGAAAGGAGAGGACAGTTCAGTAGGGCTGTGTAGACCATGAAAGTGGGAATTTAGAAATGGGATTGTATTCTAAGCGAAATGGAATGGTATTGGAGCTGGAGCATGGCTGACCTGAATGATATGTTTAAAAGATTACACTTTGATGGAGAGTAGATTGTAGGATGCTACCAGTGAAGGTGATTGAGGAGTGGTTGGATTGGGATTTGTTTTGGAGGTCTGCCGGGTTTATTGATGGACTGGATGTGGGGGTGGGAGGCTTGGGGAGGATGGTGAGAAAAAGAGGAAAATGGTAGTAGACTGGGGAAGAGCCTGTTTGTGGGGAGGAAATCAGATGGTTTGTCTGGGACTTGTTAAATTTGAGATTCCTACTGGAATCCAAGGAGGTGCTTGAATATTCATATCTAGTGTTGAGGAGGAGATATCAGACCTGGAAATGCAGATTTGGGAAGCACCAGCATTAATACCACATGCTGGAGAAGCTTGCATAGGGAACGAAGAGAAGGTGGTCCACAGTAGAGCCCTGAAGCATCGTAACATTTAGAGGTGAGTAGAGCAGTCAGGAGAGGGGGCCGGTGATGTAGGAGGAAAGCCAGAGTTGTGGAAGCCAAGAAAAGAGGACACTTTAAGGATGGATGTTAGTATTCACTTACTTTGAATAGTGCTGTCAGGTCAGGTATGATGAGGACGGAGAAATGACCATTGGGCTTGGCATATGGAAGGCAGTTTCAGTGTCATCATGGAGTTAGAAGCTGATTGGAGAGAGCTGAAGAGTGAATGGGAGATGAAAAATTAGAGAATGACTAGAGATAATTGCTTTCTAGAAGTTTTGCTGTGAGAGGGAGTCTAATGATGGAATGCTATCACAGGGAGAATGTGGAATCAAAGGAGATGTTATTTTATTTTTGTGCTTTTTTAAAATTGGGAAATACTAAAGCTTGTTTCTGTGCTGATGAGAACCATCTACTGGAAAGGGAAATTAATGATGATATACTAAAGAAGGATTAATTATAGAGTCAAGTTCTTGAGTTGGTGCTGGTGGGTGGGATGGCCAGCACAGGTCAGGGGATTGCCCCTTTCCAGGAGCAGGGATGCCGTGATGGATATGGCCTCACATGCCCCCTGTACGCAGCCCCTCCCGCAGTATCACCAGACCCCTTTAGAGCAAGGTGATCATCATCGTTCTCTAATCACTAATTTTTTTCCTGTGCTACCTACATCTTACATTCTTTTGGGTGAATTTATCTAAGGCTTAACATGAAGCAGCTGGTGATATTTAACACCAATTTCAATTTTTGTGCCAACAGGTGAAGCAAAAAATTTATTGCCATATCTTGGACCCAACAAAATGAGAGATTGTTTCTGCACCATAAATTTGGATCAGGAAGAAGTTTATCGGACCCAAGTTGTTGAAAAATCTTTAAGGTTTGTATAAAATTGATAAATTATCATTCATATATGTATGTATTAATACATTTTATACACTTTCCAGGCTTTATCAAAAAGACTTTCTTCATATGAAACTTACTTTTTTTACATTCTGAATTTAATTTTAGAATTACAGAATCTGAGAGGTTGAAGGAGCCTTAATGGTAATTAAGCTGGACTAACTAATGGTTGTTAAGCTGGAAAACAAGCCTTATGTTTGTTTTCTTCTGGCAGTTATCTTTGATAGGTGGTCACCTGGCATTTGCTTGATAGTGTGCCAGTGACCAAGGAGTTCACTGCCTCCTAAGCAGCCTGTCTGGTCTTGAAACTATTCTGACTCTTAGAAAGCTATTATTTTTAGTCAATTAGTGTCTAATAAAAGGAGAGCTTACTATATGCCAAGAATTTGCTGGGTGCTATTTATTAGTATGTTCACAAAAACAAGATAGACACAGTGCTTGCTTTCATTTGGCTTTTCATTGCCTCAAAGTATATTGCCTCTTAATTGTTCTTCATTCTTTCTCTTGGATTTCTGGAGAACAAGTTTAATCCATCCTTCATGTGACACTCACAAGTTTTTTTAAAATAACTGGCATATACCTCCACTTGTTCTGTAGGCTGAGCTTTCCCATTCGTTTGAACTTCTCTCAAACTACATTATTTTATTTTTCTTGAAAATAAATAACATCTTATAGTTTATACAAATCAACTAAGTAGGGCATTGTAAAGGAATGAACTCTTAGGTAGATTTTTCATCTTTGAAAGTGTAATAGCACTTTGAGAGTATCAGTGAATTCTAAGTCATAAAATTGAAGTGTGCCACCTCTGCCCTGGAATAGTGTTTGTGGATAGTCTAGTGCAGAGCAGTGCTGGAAGGATGCACGTGTCTCATTCAGACATCAGAGTCAAAGTGGTCACTAGGAGTTGTTGGAAAGAATGTGGTAGATGAAATATTGAGTATCATGACTTACGTAAATTGTATGTCATGTATATATTTTTATGCTCTTTTTTTGTACCTTTTTCCTTTATACTTGCCTTTTTTTCCTCTAAAGTTTTCCCCTTTATGTCTTTATTGTCAATATTTATAATTTTGAATGTCTATTAAATTCTTCATAGGAAAGAGATTGTATAAAGCTGAAAATACTTTAGTAACTCATAAAGATGCGAAGTAATACACTTCACATCTTTAGTTATACATCACCTGTCCCTGTTGTATTAGAATTGTTGTTCTTTATGTTATAAATGATGAAACTGAGTCACCAAAAGGCTGAATAATTTGTGCATATAATAAAGGAAATTAGAAGCAAAACTAAACTGTTTAAATCTCAATTTGTTACTTAATGTACACTGATTCCATGTCACACAAAAATGAGTAATATACAAAACTAGTAATTGTCCATAAATTGAATACTTGTAGTAATTTCTAATATGTAGCCTTGTAAATGAGTAACTAAAATTAGCTTACTTTTTATTAGCCCTTGCCTTTCCAGATATTTGCGTTGAGGAAAATGAGGTGATAAAACAATTATTTTTACCCATCTTAAATTATTTTTCTAGATGCATAGCAACTTGGAAGATATTTTAAAGCTAGCAGTGGTTACCTTAGGTCATTCAATACAGACTGGGTACTAGTTAGACTAGGTGCTTCTTGAATTCCGAATGCCCCCTAGCATTTTTCCTGGTGGAATAGTGTGAAAGAATCTGTTTAAAAAAACCCTTGCTCACCTTTGATAAGCTGTTAAGTCAAAAGTCGGTAGATACCATTTAGGTCTTTTGTGGATTCTGGATATTATAGTTTTTATAGGTAATCTGGATATAGTTTTCATAATGGGTAAGTGGGAGTCACATATGGAACCTATAGCTCCTAAATTTCTGCCTCACTCAGATCCTTTTAAGAAGTAGATGGTTTATAAACAAACAGTAACAGCAGTACTGCTTGTGCCTGGTGCTCCTCTTCTCCACACCAGGAATTTCCTTAGGAGTCATATGCATGATCATAGTTAGTGATAATAAACAGTAGGGTATTATTTTAAAAACTATGTAAGCCGAGTCATTGCTTCTTACCAACCCTGTTGAAAAGTTTTCTTCAAATGGGTTAATTTATTTATTTATAAAATAAAGATGTGGGTACCCAGATGTGGATGTTGTTGAGAAGGGATGATACAGTGATATAGATTACTTGATGGATAATTCTCATGATATTCTTATTTGGCTTTAGAATGTGTTTTAAAAATAATATTCAATTGTGGATATATGATATATGAAAGAAATTCTCCATTTTATAATTGTTTATAAAATGATACAAAGGAGAAAATACCTAGACATGTCATGTCTTTGCCTAATAGTTGTTTTTATATTGATTTATATGTTGAGACTAATGAGAAGACTCTAGTTATTTTGACAGCCCAACTGTTAAGAGTTTAGTTTGGTTACATTTGATGTGGGAAAAATATTGACCAAAGTTCACCAGGCATTATAACAACTGAAAAGCCGAGTCAGCTGTTTTCTGGACAAAGTCAGAAATGACTTCTCAGAGAGCATTTTACTTTGCATTTCCGCTTCTGTTTAAGTTGTGACATCCTAAAGCAATTGTATTTTACGGTGACAGTTTAAAAGTATCTTTTTGTTTTTTAAACTAAACATTCTCAGGAAAGAGGAACTCTTGATAAGATGTTCACTAGCATTTCGGAGATTCCTGTCTTCATAGAAGAATTTAAATATCAAAATAGCATTCTTAACATGCACTTATAAAAATAAGCTGTTTCATAGGAGAAACTCTTAGGAACTTGGAGGGAGGCAAAGATTTTTTTCTTAGGATGCAAAAGTACTAGTCATAAAAGAGAAAAATTGATAAACCGGATTTCATAAAAAACAGCCTCTGCTCTTCAAAAGACACTGTTAAGAAAATGAAATTGTAAGCAACAACTGGAAAAAAATATCCTGACAAAGGACAGAATTTAGAATTTATTTTTTAAGAAGAAGAAAGGCAACCATTTAAAATATGTAGAGAAAACCCAAACAGATGTTTCCCAAAAGAAGACAGACAAATGGCCAGCAAGCACTTGAAAAGATATTCAGCATCATTAGTTGTCAGGGAAATGCTGTTTTTAAACCATTTCTGTCACTATAGATTCTTGAACATAATATGTCAAGGTAAAAATCTCAGATCACTGGTTCCCTGACAGTAGGAAGGGGGAACTTGCTATAGAGATAGAAATGTTCTATATCTCAATTGGGGTAGAGATTACACAGGTGTATAAATTTATCATGTCACATTCACTAGAATAGCTAATTTTAAAAAGACTGTCACTAGCAAAAGTTAATGATATGTAGCAACTGGAGCTCTCATACATTGCTGGTAGGGATATAAAAGTTGGAAATCATATTGGAAAATAGTTTGACAGTTTCTTCTAAATTAAAATTTCACCTACCCTTTAACCCAGCAATTCCATTTTTAGTTACCTACCCAAAAGAATTGAAAGCATATGTCCAGGAAAAGCCTTGTATAAAAATGTCCATAGCAGGTTAATTTTCAATAGCCCCAAACTGGAAATAACTCAAATGGTATCACTAGGAGAATGGATTGTGGAATATTTGTAAATGAAATATTATGTAGCAGTTAAAACAAATGAACTGCTGATGTATACAGAAAATGTAAAAAAATCTCACAGACGTTAGCTGAGCAAAAGAAGCTGGACACAAGAGTACATACTATTTGATTCCATTTGTGTGAAATTCTACAGCAGATCTGTCTGTAGTGATAGAAGTCAGATCACTGGTTGCCTGACTTCTGGGTATAGTAGGGTAATTAGAGGAGCATAGGGGAACTTTATGGGGATATAGAAATGTTACCATGTCTTAATTGAGTTGGAGGCTGCACAGTTTATAAACTTATCAAAATCATTAACCTTTATAGTTCAAATTGAATTTTATTGTATGCAATTTATTCCTTAGTAAGTTGATTAAAAAAATAAGCTGTTTTAATTTTTTAAATTTTTCAAAGTAGCGTTTTGTATAGTATTACCCATTTTAGATGTTATGTATTATTGTGATTAATATAGCTTTACATATTTCTGAGATGATGATGACACTGTTCTCCACTCTCATTTGTGTCCGCTTTAAGTGAGCATGACCCTAGGCAATTACTGGGTCTTCTGTTCACATGACTCCTGAAAAGCTGCTTGTTCAGAGCTCAACCTTGCAATTGAGGTCCTTTCAGAGTTCAGCTTGGTTTGTACAGGATTTGGTTGAACTTTAGCATAGAGAATTATTTTGGAGCTTTGAAGCTTTTCTTATAGTACTTTATTGTGTATTTTATTTTATTGAAAATACTATTTGAGGACACTTAAATTTATAATAATGAGGTTTTTTTTCCCCCTTTTCTCTCTAGCCCATTTTTCAGTGAAGACTTTTACTTTGAGATTCCAAGAACTTTCCAGTATTTGTCTTTTTATGTTTATGATAAGAATGTTTTACAAAGAGACCTTCGTATAGGTATGTACTATTCATAATTGTCTTTAATCACAACATTGATTTTTATGTTCATTTTTTCTCTAAGTGTAAAGGGTTGAAAACAATAGAATAATAGATGTTCCACATTTCTAACCTTTTCTCTAGTCTTCATGTTCATTTGTGAATCTGATTTTTCATTTGATCCCTCCTTGTCATGGTGTCATGTTTCCTTAGTACCTGATGGATCCCTTCCCATAGTACTCATTGTGCTTGTCATCAGTTTGTTGTTTAATATCTAGATTCTCTAGTTGAATACAATATTTGTGAAGCAGCGGCTGTCACTCACAGAGCATCTTATATTTAGTAAATGTTTAGTATGCATTCTGTTGAATGGTTCAAAGAGTGTTTATACGAAGATCACAGTATTTGATACCCCCAAAGAACATCTGTATTTGAAGGTTTTCTAACAGAACTAATTAATTCACTTTTGACTGCCAAGGAAAAGACAGTTTAACGACATTGTATTTTCCTAGTTTTCTTTCTTCCGACTTCTCCTTTATCTCTATGCATACTCTTCTCTCTCTAGCAAACCCTTAATTATAGATCATCCTGAGGCTCCGTCCTCTATTCAGTTAAACAAACATTTATAAACACTTCTGTGTGGCATACAGTGGATGGGACGTTAAGATGAATAACACTCATTTTCTTTCCAGGCTACCAGAGAGGCAGACCTGTACTCTAAGACTAATATATAATAATAGGTTCTGTGCTGGGGGTATGAACAGAGTACTTGGGAGCGTGGAGGGGAACAGTTCATGTTGTTTGGTGGAGGATTGGCAGACTACTTTGGTAGGAAGACCTTTCAAGGTAATAGGGATTGGCAGAAGGAAAGGAAGGAAGTTGAATCATGTTTGCAGTATATCTATGGAGCATATAAGTTACTTACGAGGAGGGTGATAGAAGGTGAAATTGGGAATAATAATTGGAGTCAAGTTGTGATGGATCCTAAAAGCTGTGCTAGGGAATTTGGACCTTACTCTATAGACAGCGGGTGTTGAACCTCTTAAGAATGAGGAACCTTTTAAAAATTCCATATAACTGTATCTACATATATACTTCTATAGTTTAACAACTCCCTATGGCAGTACCTTTCAGATTATACACTCAGTGTCTATTGATTACATACTTAAAGTATTATATGTAATTATATGTAACTGTATATACACACATTTAAAAAATATATATACACATACACTTTAAATATGTAATCTATATAGTTTATAGTTGAGAGAGAAATTAGGGACAGAGAGACCACCTAGAGGCTATTACCAAATATGAATAGGGTGATGGAGGTAGAAATGCAAATGAGGGGCTGCACCTCACCCAAGTAGCTTCAAATAGGATTTAGGCACTAGGGGGCAAAGAGGATGTGAGAAGGGAAAGAGCTAAACATGTCTTGTTAGTATGGCTTTCATTAACCGGTGCAAGGAAAGCAGAGGGAGCATTTAGTTTTGAGTGGGGGATGGGAGGAGAGAGGATGACTTTGGTTTCAAACAGGTTAAATTTGTATTACCTGGGGGAAATCTTGGTGGAACATCTTTGGTTGACCGTTCTGTAACGCAGATGCGAAGCTTAGAGAAAAGAGCTGGAGATGTGGACTTGAGAGTCATTAGCATTAAGTGATACTTGAAGCCTCTGCTGGAATGAATGAAATTTCCCCGGGAGAAGATAAGGAATATGTTGCCGGGAAAATGAGGCTTCAGTGAAGATTGATAAGGTATACCAGGAAGGTAGAAAGAGAGATAAGAGAGATTAGCATCAGTGAAAGCAAGGAGATCTTTTAATGTCAGCAACGAGAGAGAGAGAATAGGGTGAGGATCATGTAGAGGCTGCTGGTGATTATTAGAGACTCTTGAGCGAGTATGTATCTTTGACTGTGTCTTTTTAAGAAAACATTTTGTCATTTTCATTGTTTACACATAACATTATAGTTATCATATAGTGTTTCTTGAAAAGGCCTTTAGTTGAGGTTTAATAAGTATGATTTCCAAAAGTTGCCTTTGTGTGTGTCTTTTTGTTGTTTTTTTTTAATCCTCACCTGAGGATGTTTTTCCATTGATTTTTAGAGAGAGTGGAAGAGTGGAAGGGAGGGAAGGATGGGAAGAGACAGAGAGAAAGAAACATCGATGTGAGAGCGACATCGATTGGCTGCCTCCTGCACGCACCCTGACCAGAGCTGGGACTCGAGCCTGCAACTCTTCAGTGTGTGGCCACCACTTGAACCACCGCCCAGACTGACCAGGGCTCCTTTTTTGTGTTTTCAAAGTAAAAATTAATTTTATTTTAAGTAAAAATCAATTCTTTGTGAATTCGTATCAGGAAACCATACCTTGGTGTAAGAACTTTTTTCAAACTTTTTTACCTCATGAATAGGTAAAGTTTATATATTTAGGGGGAATTTTTTTCCGTATCCACAGAGGAATGATTATTAAAGTAAACACAATACATAGGTACACTTTTTTTTAGCCTCACCCGAGGATATGTTTATTGTTTTTTTTTTGTTGTTGTTTTTTCATATATCTTCATTGATTTCAGAGAGAGGAAAGGAGAGGGAGAGAGAGAGAGAGATAGAAACATCAATGATGAGAGAGTCATTGATCAAGCCCGCAACCCGGGCATGTGCCCTGACTGGGAATCGAACCCTGATCGCCTGGATCCTAGGTCGACGCTCAACCGCTGAGCCACTCCCAGCCGGGCTGTTTATTGTTTTTAGAGCAAGAGGAAGGGGGAGAGAGAGGAATATCTGTGTGAGAGAGAGACACCATCAGTTGCCTCCTGTACACGCCCTGACAGGATTGAAACTGCAACCTGTTGGTGTACGGGACCATGCTCCAACCAGCTGAGCCCCCGGTCAGGGCCATATGTACACTTTAATTTAAAGCTGGAAAATGGTCTTGCTGTTTTCATTTATACATTTTACAATTTTGTAGTTCAACATACTTTCTTTTGCTATTAGCTCATAAAGTTGGGTGTGTATGTTTTTTAATTTTGAAGTACTAGAAATTGAGTTCCTTCAATTATTTTATAACTCTTGAGTTGCCTAATTGTAGATTAAGCAGTTACAGAATTTTCTGGAAGTGAGATTTGAGCTAGAGATCTGAGAATATGTACTGGTTGAAGAGTTTGTTTGGTTTTTGTTTTTAACTGTATAAGTAACATATGGATATTTCTCTTTTTGTAAAAAAAATTTTAATTATAGTATTATAGATAATTCTAATTAATTTTGAACACCAACCCTCCCCTTTCTAATCCCTTTCCCAAAAGTAATAACTGTTTTCAATGTGGGGCATAAATTTTCATATTAGGCATCTTATATGCAAGGAATAGTTAGGGCAAAAGATCGATTAGGGATTAAAAACTTGAGACTTAGGAACCATTTTACAAAAAGAAAGTAAATTGTAAAATTGAGGCTTTAAAAGTGTGATATCTTGTCTTAAGACATAGTGTCTTCTCTTAAAAATGGAGAAAAAGACAAAAGAAAAACTTCATGTAGTATGTTTCCATTTTCAGTGAAGATCCTAGTAACATTAAAATGAAAACATATTTTACCTCCTACTGTGAATTTGCAAGTTATTTTTCTTTTCAGAGGAATCTAGGCTCAAACAAGTGAACTGTGGTTATCTTAATAGACTCTGGCAACTCACTTTCTTCTCCTGGGTTTAGAACGATATTTGATAAGAGAATTTTACTAGGATATCAGAGATGTGAATTCCAGTCATGACTATCATTAAGTAGCTGTATGACCTTAAACAAGTCACTTTACCTTCTTAGGCCTAGTTCATCTCTAAAATAAGGCTGAGTTTAACATAGTTCTTTTCTAGCTCTTTGAATTGTAATTTCTGTTGGCATTTAGCTCTTAAGTCTAACCTACTGTTTAAAATTTGCCTAAGACTACACTTTGGTGTGTTTGCATAGGTATTGGATCAGTTACCTATTGCTGCATAACAAAACACTCCAATACTTAGTGGCTTAATACAGCAACCATATATTTGCTTATGATCCTATACTTTGTCAAAATTGGATGGAGCCGAACTGGGCGGTTCTCCTGCTGGTCTCACTTGGGGTCACTAATGTGCAGTTATCTGGGAGATTGACTGGGCTGAACTGAACTGTCTGACTCATATGTCTGATAGCTAGTGCTGGCTAATATCGAGGCCTTCCTCTTCACATGGTGTCAGGGTTCCAAGGGTAAGCCCTACTGCACAGGTGCATATTAAGCCTATATTTGTATCACATTTACTGATGTCCCTTTGGCAAAAGCAAGTAACATGGCCAAACACAGAGTCTGTGCTTGAGGGTACTAATGATAGCATACACCGAGGAGACCATTAACGTACCAGCCTACCATGGAGACCAAAGTGTGTCCACCTAAACCCCATACACTGAGGCATCAAAACACTGCCATCGATGGAATTTCTGTTGTTGACTATCTTCCAGAATTATTTGTTCAGTCTTCTGGTCCTATTTCATTTTGTATAGGCAGTCACACTTGTCACTACTTTTATCTACTCTTTCAGCCATTTCTCCTAGTGTCCAACTAGTATCGAGACTGTCGAGATTTTGCCAGTTGGTGATCTGTATCAGGATGAAATTTCTAAGAATATGCTGTTTCTAAATATGGAGCCCAAATATAACACAGTATTTACAGATGGCAAGAAAATGCTGCATAGAAGTGCTGGAAAGCTAGGAATACTTTTTTTCTACTTAGAGACCAACAAAGATGGTTTCTTTACCCATTGTTCCTCACTTTTTGTGTTTCCTCTCCTTGTCTTATCTTAAGGAACTAATAAAGCATGGGGGGGGGGTGTTTTTGGTCTAAGCTCTTTCTGTCTATGAGTTTGTCATAGGAAATGAGGAAATGAGGAAATGAAATGTTAGGTAGTTTGTTCCTGGGTGATTTTTTTTTTGTGATTTTTTTTTTGAGGTTGGTGATTTCATGGCTAGTGAAATAATGAGTGAACAGTAAACTAAAACAATCTTTGGGACCATTAGAGGCACAGAACAGGTTTTTAAGATCGTTAGAGCTAAAAGTTGTTCCTAATACAGAAGAGGTAAATGAGAGGTAGTGTTTAAATAAATAGCCCAAGATCATGTAGCTAACAAGTAACAGAATTGTCACTATGCCACTAAATGAATGTCTGTATTAGAAAGAACATGGACAGGGGTACCTTGGTTTTGAAATCACTCAGCACCTGTTAGTAGGCAGATTTTTAAATATCGCTAAGCTTTCTTCATCTGTTAGATGGTGATTATTCTCTCTATGCAAGATTGTTATGATGATGAAACAGAAAATACTTAAGAATGTCTGGTGAATGTTCAGTAAATGCTGGCTTTTCTTTCAGCTCAGTGCTCTTTCTGCTGTATCAGGCTGCCTACCTTTTACAATCAATACTTTCCATCTAACCAGCTTAACTAAGGGTAGCTCAAAACGAGTAAGAATTATGAGGGGTTTTTTTTGGCCTTTTTGTATTTTAGAAACTTGTCCTTCCCATTTCTGTCCCTCTCCTTTCCCTCTTCCACATTCTCTTGCCCTTTACCCTCCCACCTTTAGTGATATTTGTATATATTATACATACACATATAGTACCTCTACATACATATTCATAAAATATCTATGAAGCTAAAAATCCTGGAAATTGTAGAATAGGGATCTTTTTTAAAAAAATGCTTTTATTGAATTTAGAGAGAGAAAAAGGGAGAGAGAGAGGGAGAGAGAGAGAAACATCGATGTGAAAGAGAAACACTGATTGTTTGCCTCCTGTGAGCACCCTGACCGGGAATCGAACCCACGGAGGATGGGATGACAATCAGCTGTACCACACCAGCCAGGGCAAGAGTAGGGATCTTAACCAGGAGTGTACCAGCAAGTTTCTGCATAGTGGGTAAACCTTCTTAAAATTATATGCCAGATAATATCTGTGCATTTTTTCTGGGGAGAGGACACAAAAGATTCATAGATACTAAGATCCTTAAAGGAAGAGGTGAGTGGTTCTCAAAATATAAGAACTTCAGCTATGGTAGGTATAGATCTAAATATACATATATATATTTACATATATATAGATTAAGCTGTTATACATTGCCTTAACCTTTATATCTGGTATGAAATCAATGGTAAATGGAACCACTTGATAGAATTGTGATAATCTTAGCATTTGTGACAGAACAGTAGTGAATACTTTGTCATAATTCTGTATCCTAAGCCATTCTTGATATTATATTGATTTATGAGGAATATGATACAATCAGTAGGTAAAACATATAAAGAGATTTGTATGATTTGGTTCTTAAACTCCTTCAGTAGCATAAAGAATATTTAGGTGTTCCAGTTAGTGCTAGAATTCTGTACTTGGCTTGTAATCTGTATGTTCAGTAGTGGACGAATTTATCTTTTTTCATTATTTTGTATCTTAAGTTTAACCCCCCAAAGACTGAAATATGTTATTTTTCTAGTGTCATTTCCTATAAGACTTGGATGAATCATAAATGCTACATATTTACATGAAGATTTTGGCCTTCACATTAGATTTCCTCCAATATATTTAAAAGAAAGTTGGAGCCCTGGCCGGTGGTTAGAGCATTGGCCTGCACACTGAAGGGTCACATGTTCGATTTCCCATCAAGGGCATGTACCTGTATCGCAGGTTCACTCCCTGCTGCTGGTCGGGGCGTGTGTGGGAGGCAACCAATCGATGTATCTCTCCCACATCAGTTGTTTCTCTGCCTTTCCCCCTTCCTCTGTCTATCTCTCTCCCTCCCCACCCTCCCTTCCTCCCACTCTCTTTCTGAAAATCAATGGAAAAAATATCCTCCAGTGAGGATTAACAACAACAAATAATAATAATAATAAAAGAAATTTTGAAAGATTCATGCTTGTTGTGAGGGCTAATTTATTAATTTTAAAATGTTACAAGTATTAATAAATATAGCTAATGAATTTTCAGTAGTTCTCTTTTGAGTTATATACTAATACAGTTGCCACTCTAATGAAAATATATGTAGCTGTGTGTTTTAGAATTTTCCTTTAAATCATACATGTATATATAAAGGTAGTCTTTGTAGTTTGAGTTTTAGTCATGACTAGGAAGATAAGCTTATCAAAAATTTTAATATGGTTAAAATTTTTTAATAGCAACTTTATTGAGGTATAATTCACATACCATAAAACACCCTTTTAAAGTCTATGATACAGTGGTTTTTAGTATATTCACACAATTGTGCAACTATCACCACGGTCTAATTCCAGAATAAAATTTTAAAGATAGTTTTCTGTTTGTTTTCCTGTCATGCTTTTCCTTTTCTCTTGATACACAAGAACTGACATACTGTTTTCTAAAAGTTTTCAAATGTTGAACTAAAGGACCAAAATGGGTCATAAGTGAAAAATATCCTTGAAGTATAATTAGGGCAATTAAAATGAAAATTCTTATTTGATACAGTAAAAGAAAGTGAACTGTTTTTGACTTTTAGTGTATATACTTTGTTGAAGTTTTGTGTAGAGCTTCAAATAAATTGTAAGTCATATGCAAAACTATGTCTACTTCTTAAAACTTGAATTGAGGAAGGAAATGCTTTGTACCAACATGGCAAATACTTCATTATAATAAGAACATTTCTGTTTCTTCCTCTCCCTACTACTTTATTCATTTTCCTATATCTTTCTCTGAGAAGTAGAAACCCTTTAAGGATCTGCCTTGATTTTTTTTTTTTTTTTTTTTAAATAATGCATTGAAGCAGCATAAGCAGTGTTTGCAATATTTTGATTAAAGCAAATTTTAAGTAAAATTATTGGTTTAATCTCCCATAATTTTCAAGTTAATTTTCAGTGTTATCAGTGATGTATGAAGTTTTTGTTTGTCTCTTAATTGGGACTTATAAATTCTTATCAAAGGCAGATATAAAATATATGGTTTATTCATAGCATTAAAGAACTGGAAGGATTAGTTTACACTATCAGTGTACATTGCTTTTTACACTGATTGTACTCTGGGAGAAAACATGAATCTGAATAAGTACTAAAAAATACAGTTGCATGTAATTACAACTGAGTTTTTGTCTAATCCCCTAATTCAGAATGACCAGAGAAGGGCCTGCCAAGGGGCAAGGAAAAATGAGCACTTTTCATTCTTTAGAGTATAGAAAAATACTTTATAAAAATCTGTTTTTAATACCAATAGATATGAATTATTTTTTAAATGTTTTCTACAAAGTATTATATATAACAGTGCTAAAGATTATACAGAATGTTTCCTCATACTGTTTTACTTATTTCCTATAGGAAAAGTAGCCATCAAAAAAGAAGACTTGTGTAACCACAGTGGTAAAGAAACTTGGTTTTCACTACAGCCTGTTGACTCCAATTCAGAGGTTCAGGTAAATATTAAGACTGAAGTGATGTAAGAGATTGTCACACAGAGAAAATGAATGAAAAATAAATTACACTAGTTCATATACATACAGCTTATTATATCTTATTTTAAATTCTGGTGCCAAATATTATAGACCTTTGGGTAATATAGAGCTAGAAGGAAATTCCTTGCTACATGAATTCAAGAATAACACGTGTTCATGCGTATATGAGTTTGGGGAGGTTATATTAAGGGGAACATTTTTCCCCTTCCTTAGTTCTTTTGTTTCAGTCACAGTAGCAAATTATTAACATTTTTTCAGATGGGGAAAAAGTTTTAAAGGGAAAAGATGTTTTATTCACTCTGACTTTTAGGAGAATTTCTAGACGTCTTTGATTTCATCTGTCTGACCAGGATGCCGAAGTCTCTAGTAAACTAGACTTAGGAAAATGCTATTCATTCAAACCATGCTTGAGCTCATCATACAGTACCTTTATTCTCACACTCACCCTTCCTGTTCACCATTTTTTTGAAAATTTGAACAGGGATCATTACTCTTTTTAAAGCTCTTCTTTCCTCTTGCCAATGTAAGAGGTCTTACAGATTCTGTGTGTGAGTGAAGATGGGTGTTTAGCCGTTTATCTTTTTTTGTTGTTAATCCTTCACCCGAGGGTTTTTTTTTCTCTCGTTGATTTTAAAGAGAGGGGGTGGAAGGGAAGGAAACATCAGTGTGAGAGAGAGACATCAATTGGCTCCAACCCTTCGGTGCAAGGACCGGTGCTCTAACCACTGTGCACACAGGCCAGGGGTTTTTTGTTGTTTTTTTAATCCTCACCCAAGGGCATGTGTCTATTGATTTTAGAGAGAGAAGAAGGGGGGGAGAGAGAGAGAAACATCAATATGAGAGAAACATAGATCAGTTGCTTCCTGTATGCACCCCTACCTGGGATTGAAGCCACAACCTGGGTATGTGCCCTGACCAGGAATCAAACCCACGACCTTTCAGTGCATGGGACAGCATTCCAACTTACTGAGTCACACTGGCCAAGGCTAGCCATGTATCTTTCTGTTTGTTTCTGAAAAATCTGAGTTTCTCTTAGAAATTGTTATTTCTAGCTAAAAGGAATCCTTTTTTTTTTTTTTTTATAACCCTATTTATTTATAAAATATGGTAAGGATTGTGAAACCATTTCCCGAAGGCATAATTGCAAGCAGAATTCTTCCTCTCTAAAAGAAGCTATAATTTGCTACTGACTCAAACAGAAGTTTAAGACCAGAAAAAAGTGCTGTGCACACACCCACGGATATTTGCAAATAAAGTGTCTGTGTCTCTATTTCCTCATAACCTCTCAAGCATTCTCTTTGATTAAATTCTCAAAAAATTAAGTATCGGTATACTAAAACCTCTTCTTAAGTACAAAATATAATTAAAACTGTTCATGTTTTATCCCCTGTACCCCATTTTAATGTGCTTTTCTTTCCATTCGACGTTAACTGTTATATTCAGATCCCGATATACAGTATGATAAATGACCCAGGTGAGAGGCAATGTAATGATGTGGAAAGAGTTTTAAACTAGAAGTCAGAAAATTTAGGTCCTAATTTTTATATGTGGTTACTTTTCATGTTGATTCGTATGATGTGAGAATTAAGTGTATTTTGAAAGCTGTTAAATGCTATCCAGATGTAAAATATCTGTTTACCACCAGTTGATTAGGTGGCACCATTTCCCTAATACGCCTTTATGAAAAGGCAGATACGAAAGTTTTAAATTAAAGTACCAGTTTTGTTTTAATAGTTTTAACAAAAAGCAAGATAAGAGTAGGCTTTGAGAATTCGTCTGATATGAAATATAAAAGTTATTTTCATATGCAGTTTAGTAAAATCCATTCTTATGACCAATGTAAATTTGCTAAAGGATTTAAGGACCCTAGCTCTCAAAAAGTAGAAATGTTTTTATAATGTTCTTTGTATAATTCTTGGAGATGGTATAAGAAATTAGTACTGGGTAACTGGCTTTTATTTGATGGTGTATATGTAAAACTCATTTCTGAAACATGAAAATCCTGGAAACACATTTAGCTGTTAGATATTATGTCAACATTTTTTATTTGCTACAAGTTATTTTCATGAACATGAGTTATAATCTTTAGAGCTCTTTTTTCTTAAATGACACTTAATAAGATCTAATCACTACTTAAAATAAAATTTGGAAGGAAGAATACTTTAGGGGGTTGGAAGAATGTATAACACTTTTCAGGTTAATATGGTACCATTAGGAATATTGTTGTGTGGCCCCAAAACTGATCTAGGAAAGCTAAATTAACTTTGTAAGTCTAGAAAACATAGAAAGGCAGTCTATGATTCATTCAAATCCTACTTTTAAATAAATGTGTTCATTTGTATAACTTTTATAAAATTTTATAAAAATATCATGGAAATGAGACCTATTGATACAGCCATAGGAAAAAGCTACAAGACAGATTGAGTTCAGCAGGAATTCCATCTTCTACAGCCTATACCAAGCACAGTAGTAAGTACTTAATATACATTATCTCATTTAATCTTCAGAATAGCGTTAATGAGGTATAGGTAGTATTACCTCCATTTTACAGATAAGGAAAATGGATTCTTAAAGGTTAAATGATGCCTCCAAAGTCACAGCACTATTAAGTGATGGAGCCATGATTACAATAAAGATCTTGTGTGACTCTAAAACTCTTAACCCACAATGCTTTACTGCTTTTTATTGTTCTGTACTATTAACCATAAAAAAGCTTCAACAGAGATTGTTAGGAGGATCTCTTAGGGAACATCGGAGTATAAGGAACAGAAGCCTACTCAAATAAGCTCAAAGAAAAAGGAAGGGACATTAGGCATTTCCTAGGGAACTTATTGGAATATAATTACAGGAACTTCAGTTTGGCCAATAAGAGCTAGTAAGTTGTGAAGCATTTGCAGATGAGCTACATCTTAAGTGGAGGTCAGGTTCTTTCAATAATAGACTAGATACAGTTCACATAATCAAAATCATTTTTGAAAGACTTTAATTTCTCATAAAGTACACTAAAATATTGGATAGTTGGTTTGGTTTTGGTTGACTAGTACATAAAACAGCTGGCTTGCATTTGGGGCCATGGTGAAGTTAAAATATGTACTATATCTGTAAACTTCCACTTAGTGATACTGCAAGACGCACATGATAACTGAGACCCACTGATTCATTTCTCTCTACTCCTATGCTCACTGTGCTCAATGAGTGTAAATGCTCACTGTTTAAATAGTATTTATTTTTTCCCTTTTATTATGTAAAGTGAATAGTTAATGTTTTCTCTCTATCTCATTTTATTAACTACTCAGTTTGCAAAATGAAAGGGAAAGGAAAAATACTATGATGAGATTCCATTGTATCCTTTTTAAATTTTTATTTATTGATTGACTTTAGAGAGAGAGGAAGGGGGAGAGAGAGGAAAAAAACCAAACACACATTGATTTGTTCCACTTATTTATGCATTCATTGGTTGAATCTTATATGTGCCCTGATTGAACCTGCAACCTTTGGCATATCAGGACAACACTCTAACCAACTGAGCTGCCTGGTCAGGGCTGTACTCTTTTTGTATGTCTGATGGGACTACAAGTCTCTCCCTCTGCTTCTCTAAGTAAATATAATTTCTTGTTAACAGCTAACCAAAAAAGGCCACATCATCCTTCAAGTCTACATAACCATAAAGCCCCCTCACTCTCTTAAGATCTGACTCATTTCTCTGCCACAATTTAGAAAGAGAATCTGGCCAAACTTGGGTCAGATGTCCATTGCAGTCTGATTTGATATGATTGGAGGTAAAGTCACTATAGAGAAGTCTGTTTTGGGGCTTTGGGTAGGCATGTTCTCCCAGAAAGGGGTTTGGGTAGAAGTGATTGGTATCTCTACTTCAGAGATTAAGATGCTTGATTTCCTAGCTCTACCACTAATCATTTGTACCTAAAATATTTGCCAACCTATAGTTGTGTGAGGCTCTCCGTCTGTGAAATGAGAGCTTCAGTATATAGGATTCCCTTCTGTTTCAGTAACATGAGAAAATGTAATTTAGCCCTGAAATGAAAAGATCCCAATAGTAGTAAGATGGCTTTTATACCAAAACAGTTGAAAAATTGCTAACAACTCTAACCTCTTACCTGGACCTATTTCCCAGATGCTTTATTATTGCTTTTAATAATATTAATTATTTTTAGGTTTTTTTTCATACATTCAAGGTATTCTTTTATGAGTACATTTTCCTACACTTTCTGTATTGGACTATTCTTTTCTCAACCCCTCTAATCTGCCTTTAGACCCCACAGTGGGTCAGAGGGAGAGCACAAGCAGCTGTCACAGCGTTACCCATGACATTGGGTCACTAAGTCTAGTGGGCTCAGTCCTCTCTTACATGACTTTCCAGCAACCTTTTGATACTATTGGCCACTCTCTCCTTTTTGAAGCATTCTCTTTAGTTTCTGGTCATAGTCCTACATAACATAGTATTCTCTCTCCATGTTCTTTGCCACATAAGTGCAGTTAGTGTGGATTGAGTTGGTTCCTCTTCCTCTATATCCTCTCAGCTTTCGTGATCTGCAGCCATGCTGTTAACTGTTTGGTCCTGGAACTCATAACAAACTAAATATTTTTTCTTTATTTATTTCTTAGGTGCTATGATAAAGAGCTTGCCTTTACATAAGACTGATTAAACCAGATCTCTCATATGGAGAAGTTGGTGCTCTCATTAATTAAGGATGTTTATCTCACACAACTTGTACAAGCAGTAAATCCAGATATACTATCAATCACATCCTCTTGACTTAATTAGTTAATAAGTCTACCAACAAGCTCATCTTGAATTTCTGGATCATGCCATAAGTTATTGATTGTTTTTGTAGTTTTTCTTTTGTAATATGGCATCTGCCCACCCTCTTTATACAAGCATTAACAAAATAAATGCACTGATTATAGCTAATAATATAAATCAGGTGTTTGGGGTTTTTTTTACATCCCCATTAAGACATTGAATGTTGCAGTTTGATTTTTTAAAAATTTAGCCCTGGCTGGATTGCTCAGTGGTTGGAGCTTCGTCCTATGCACCAAAAGGTTGTGGATTTGATTCTGGTCAGAGCACAAACCTAGGTTGTGGGGTCTGTCCCCAGTCGGCGCATACGGGAGGCCGCCATTCGATAGGCATCCATTTGATGTTTCTTTCTCACATCAATGTGTTTCTCTCTCTCCCCCCGTTCCTATCTCTAAAATCAATAAAAGCATATCCGTGGGTGAGGAATAAATAAATTAAATAAATATAAATAAATAAAAAATAAAAATTTAAGTTTATAAATGTGAAATAACAAAAGAATGAGCCTTCTAGATCATAATAAATACTTCTTTAAGGAGAAAAACAAATCGGTCCATACATACATAAAACATAGTAAGTAAAACCTTTATTTTGTTTTTCATCTGACAGTTGTGTCCAAATGGTTTACAGATTTAATTACTGTACATAAAAACATCTGTCAGAAATCTGGAAGTTGAGATATTTTCCCTCATATATAAAAAAAATTCACCAGTTCATATATACTGAGGTCTTTTATGTGGAATATTGTTAAAATTTAGTGTTTTGTGATAAAAACTAAAAAAGTGTTTAGACTCAGGAGGTTTTAAGAGTATGTGTTATGTTTTTCTCAAATACCTATTTTCAGCTGAGTTTCCCAAACAGTATGCAGAAATTCACTATCTTCTCTAGGGTACCAAGAATAACATGGTATAAAATTAAAATAATCACAGATTTTTCTGTGTGAAATTTCTGTAAAAGTAATTGAAATAAAGTTAGCATATAAAAATATTAAACTGATTTTTCAGACAGTACCAGAATAAGTTCCTAAATATGCTGATACAAATTAATGTGATACAGTTGCATACATCACCCTAACATAATCAGTGCTATGGAATACATAAAGAATAATACCTTCCAAGAATTTGGCTTATTTTTAATTAAAATTAGAGAATATAGTGCCAGATATCTGATCATCCCAGTGTTTTCTGACATACATAAAATGTATACTATTAGATATTGGATGAGAAAGTAGTTGTGGACCAAATCACATTACATGCTTCTGAGCAAACATAATTCCTTGTCAGTCTTACAGTTTCTTTTTTGTAGGCAATGGCTCTGTTTTTCTGGTTGCTTTTAGGATTTTCTCTTTATCTTATGCTTTCATCAGTTTTTGCTGTGCACTGCCTACTTGTGGTTTTCTTTATATTTATCCTACTTGGGTGTTCCTGGGGGCTCTTGAACCTTTGCCTTGATGTCATTCTTCAGTTTTGGAAAATTCCAGGCAATTTTCTCTTCATCTGTTTTTTCCCTTCCCTATTCCTTCTCCTCTCTTCTGGGACTACAATTACATGAATAATAGACCATTTGCTGTCTCTTATTCTCTCTCTGCTTCATTTGTGGATATTTTCTACTGACTAATCTATCTCCCATTTTACCAATCCTTTTTTTAGCTGTGGGTAATTTGCTGTTAAATACATCCTCATTTTGGTTATTTTATTGCTTAATTCTAAATTTCTTATTTGATATATTTTATAGTTTCCATTTATTTGCTAGATTTTGCATTTCATTTTCTATCTTAAAAATGCTTTTCCTCTCTTTTTTTTTAAACTGAATTTATTGGGGTAACATTGGTTCATTAAAAAAATTTTTAAACATTTATTTTCCTCTGTCAGTTAACTCCAACATCGGCATCTCTTGTAAATCTGCTTCCTTTTGTCAGGTTTTTGTTTTTGGTGTTTGTCTTTTCTTCTGTCGTGCTTAGTAATTTTTGATGGGATGCTAGACATTGAAATATGAAATATTTTAGAGATAATTTGAAGCTCTGGATATATTTTTTTTCTTCCTCCAGAGATTTACTTTGTTTTTTGCATGTGGGTAGATTAGAGGCAACTTAATCCAGTTATGAATTCGGCTGATTCCAGACTAGGTTTCAGTCTTTGTAAGGGCTGGTCTCTGTTGTTCATTCTTACTCCTCAGGCATAGTCCTTCAGAGGTTCCAACAGAAAGTCTGGGTATTTACTATCTTGGTGGGTCTGGGACTCAAGTTTTTATCTGCCCAACACCATGAAACTGTGGAAAGCTTCAATTAAGCTTAGCATCTCCAGCCACTGCTGAAGTTAGGAATTCCCATTCAAAAAGCTGCTTCAGATGCCCCACCAGCAGCTTCTGTTTTTTGTTGGCTTTTTTTGGTGAATCTTCACCACAGGATATTTTTTTCCATTGATTTTTAGAGAGAGTGGAAGGGAGGGGCGGGGGGAGGAGAGTGAGGGAGAGAGAGAAACATTGATGTGAGAGAGACACATCAGTTGGTTGCCTCCTGCACATACCCCAACCACGGCCAGGGATGGAACCTGCAACCCAGGTATGTGCCCTGGACTGGTAATTGAGCCCTCAACCCTTTAGTTCATGGGCCAATGCTCTAACCATTTAGCCACACTTGCCAGGGCAGCAGCTTCTGTTTTGCGTCTTATCAGCCAGAACTGTATTATATGGCTGTTATTAGCCACTACCCCTGGCTTCAAAGGAGACTAGGAAATATTTTATTGAACTCATAACTGCCCTCTCAAAAAACAAACAAACTTGTTTTTGCTACAATCCAAATATACAAAATGGTGATAGGTGTAAGTAAAACTGAACTTTGTGTCAATGTATTAAGGAATACCAAATTTTTGTAAAATGTTCAAAGATTTAGGTTTCTGACACTGAAAAGTAGCTTCAAGTAATTTTTTAAACTTTTTGTTCATTTTTCTTTATTAAAAAGCAACACACATTGGTAGTAGAAACTTAAAAAAAATCTAGATGAGCAGAAAGAAAAACTCTGAAATCCTACCAACAAAAGGTAACTTCTATCAATGTTTTAGTAGATGGAGTTGTAGTAATTTTATATAGTGATATATGTACAGTATTATTTTATTTTTACAAATTAATGTTATATTATACACCCTATTTTGTAAGTTGTTTCTTTTACTAAGCATTATGTACATATTTCCATGCTAAACAATGAGGAAGTGTTTTATAGTTTAGAAATTATAATTTCCTTAATTTAACTCATAATGCTTTTTAATTTTAGTGTTGCACACTAATAGTATGTGTCTTGTGTCTCCTGTTCTGTACCCACTCTTTTCTTGACCAGGTTGATACACAATTATGTTATTGTTGGCTAATACCAAAGGAATGTTATGTTTAACAGCCAGTGGGAGTAATGAACGTGTTAGGTAGGCTCTGACTCAATGATAATGATTCCTGGTAGAATCCCATTAAATATCTTTTTATTTCTAGGCTCCACTTGATGCAGTGCTATGATTTTTAGTTGTGAATGAAATTATTATACTTTTTCTCCACTCCACTTTAGCAGTTTTTATTATTTTAGAAATAGAGATTCTATACGTTCCTGAGAGACAGTAAGGAGTGCCTTGTTAGCATACACTTTCTGCCATAAAATGCATACATGTTAAAATAGTAAAACTGCTTTGAGATGCAAATGTTGGTACAGTTGGCTAGGCTCACTAAGTGACACACACATGCTGACGTGATGGCAAACATGACTCAAAATTCTACTTGAGTAATATTACAGATTACTACAGATCATGGACCTCTTCAGGGTCACTTTTGAACAGCAGGGTTTCTGAATATTAAACACAGGACTAACAAAAAATGTATCTTACAAATTATATGTGACTATAAATATTTGTGCCTAGATTTTTAGTGGAAGATTTGCTTAATTTAATTCTAAATCCATCCAACTGCTAATTTTACTACCACTGGTGCCTGTCTTTAGAGCTTAGCTTTCTCATGCAGCTTTTGTGTTGAGACCCATCAATATCTATTGCTTATCACTTACTATCGATTTAACTCTGAGCTTTGTAGTTAGTGGTCTTCAGATTCACTGTTGTATAACAAGTCCCCATAAAATAGTGAAGCTGATTCAGGTTAGATTTTTATGAAAGAGTATCTGAAAGGGGTGTTTCAAAAAGGAACAGTGAGTAAATAATGGACCTTCTTACCTCTAATGAAATTACTTACATCACCAGCCCTTAGACATCACACCTCTGAAATCTCCACTTGGCACCATGGGAATCTGTCTTTCTGCTTGTCAGCTGGGAGGAGGTAATCCAGCACCGGGTTCTTAACCATGCCAGATTGCTCATAACCAGTTTAGAATCGCTCATCACCAGTGGCAGAGTAGAAATATCAAGCTCTAGATTATATTGTTCCTAAGCCTTCATTTCTTAAGAAGTTGATAGTTTGCTTTAAATTTATACTGCTGAATTTTTTAAAATCCATTTATTAATGGCTGTTTAAGAAAGTACTCCTTTGTTTTCAGTATCCCATTTTTTTCATCATTACTTTTGGCCATATAGTGCTATCTTTTGTTTATTGTCTCTTCAACTAGATTGTGAGCTTCTTATAATTAATAACTGTGTGTAATACATCTATGGATTCCTACCCACTCCCACAGTGCCTCCTAAAATATAGTAGATATTCCATAAATCTATTATTTATGAAAAGTAAGTGTTGATAAATTGCATTACTAGTTTTAACTTATTTTTATTGTTTTATAATTGTATGATTTCCCTGTCTTTAAATGATACCATCTCTGCCTTTATTGATGATTTGTCTTTTCTGGGAAAAGCATTCTAAATTTTATAATTAGCTTTTATTTCAAAATTTCCTAAAACATAAGTGTTACCTTTCTTTGTAATCCATGATTTCTGAGATACATAAATATTTGTTGAACTGGGCATAAAGGTCTTAAATTTGAGTACCATGTTTGATATAAGCATCTGACTGCCTCTTTCAGATTTTGATCTACATTGTTGGTTATTAGTCATTTAACAGATACTTAATGTGGGCAAAACCATGTGCATAACTGAATATTTTGAGTACCATTTGACAAAATATATACCTTTAATATATTTTTTTGTCATTATAGGGTAAAGTTCACCTTGAATTAAAACTGAATGAACTGATAACAGAGAATGGAACTGTGTGCCAGCAGCTTGTTGTACAGTAAGCATATTTCTTTTACCAAAATCAGCTAGAAGTAATTCTCCATTTTCTATTATTTGAATCTTAGGCCTACTCTCTATTTTAAATACTTCAGAAACTTTTTTCAGAAATGAAACTGCTATGCCATTTCTTTATTAAGTTGATTTCCAATTTATTTTCTTATATCTAGTCTACTCAGGTTATGATAAGTCATTAATTAATTTAATCAACATTTATTATTGAATGTGGGTTAAATGATAGATATAGGGTGTTATAGCATCACAGATGAGTGTGTCTAACTACCTGGCAGGCAGGAGGCGGAAAGGCTTCCTAGTGAATGACGATGGGTGTTTAGCCATTTATCTTTTTGTTGTTGTTAATCCTCACCTGAGGATATTTTTTCCGTTGATTTTTAAAGAGAGTGGGGGTGGGGGGAGAGAAGAGAAAGAAAAACATTTATATGAGAGAGACACATAGATTGATTGCCTCCTGCATGTGCCCTAGCAGGGCTGGGGAATGAACCCACAGCGCAGGTACGTGCCCTCGACCCAAATGGAGCCCTCGACCCTTCGGTGCGCAGGCCAGTGCTCTTGGTGCTGAGCCGCACCCGCCAGGGCTCCGTTTATCCCTTTTCATTTGTGAGTAGTAGTCCTTTATGTGGAATTTGTTTACTCATTCACCAGTTTATGGATATTTGAGTTGTTTTCAGTTTGAGGCTGTTAACGCAGACAGCTGCTCACAAACAGGTTTCCATGTGGACGTTCGCTTGTCTGTCTGACCGTTCCCTCGTCTTTTTCCCTGAAGCCTCCGCTGTCCATACTTACTGACTGGCAGCAGCAGAGTATCAGTAGTAGCCTTATGGAATTTATTGTCGCTTTCTCAACTTCAGAGGTATTTTGAAGTTTGTGGTATTCTGTTTTTTAGTAATGCCGAAGGCATGGTTTCAAGTATTGTTTTCTTTGTGCTCCTTATTGAACTATGGTTTTGGGGGTTATGTGTGGAAAGATTCATATGCAGTAGCTATTCTCCTCCAGGCCTAGAAGCTCCCCACTGGAGCATTTCTTACACGTCAGTAAGACCATTATCCACTGGTCTTCACTATATTCTTACCTGCTCCTATTTCACTTCCCTTTATGTTTGTTTTTTTTTTAATGATCTGTCACTATAATCATTTTCTTACAGGGTTTCCCTAAATCCTCTGCTCTTCTCTCATCACTCTTATTTATCTGGAAAAATCTTAATATGAATGAAACTCTTCCTCTGTGTTCAGTCTGCACCTGATTATTGCTGGAGAAAAGTTACATAGACTGATTTTACTTTAAATTCCTGACCACAGACCTTACATGGGTACTTACAACTGCCCTGGAGTTTTACTGTGTTTCTCTAATGCACCAATGAGATTTTCTATCACTGCAGACTGTAAATTGGTCACATCTTCCTGCGTATAAATCTGCAAATCTGTCTTGGCATCCATCTTTTTGTCCTTATGTGATAGCAGAGGAGGTGTCCCTTCTCCTACTGGGGGTGCATTTTCCCATGTGATCCCTGGATTCCTTTATTTCCCCTACTCAAAGACTTCACTCCTTCAGGTTTCCCTTCTTTTGTGTCACCCACTTTACCCTCTCTTTTAGATTGTTCTTGTCACCATGTAAACATGTTCTAGCATCTCCCATCCTAAAAGACATGCCTCTCAAGGTCTCACTTCCACCCCTCTCATCGCCATTTCTCTGTTCCCCTTTGAAAATAAGACTTCTCCAAGTAAAACTGCGTAATAAATATAAGTGTGTGTACACACTAGCTCTGTTCACTGAGAAGGCCTAGAAACAGTGTCACCCCAGTAGCAATGAGTATACTTAGCCCCCATATTTTGGTTCCTAAATATCATTCTCCAATCAGTACCGTCTGGTAGATCTTTCTGTTTTGATGAAAATGTTTGTATTTTAACTGTCCAATACAGTAACCACAAACTATATGTATGGCTATTGAAAACTTGAAATATGGCTAGTGGTACTAAAAAGCTGAATTTTTAATTTTGTCTAAATTTAAGTTTAAATAACCACAAGTGGCTAGTGACTACAGTATTAGAGCTGCACCAATAAAAAGAACTTGGACTTCTTTTTAGCTGTGGCTGATTTCAAGGCTTGGGCAGAGAAAATATAAGATGATCCCAGAGCATCTGTAGAGTCAGAAAGTAAGGAAGTGCTCAAGAAATGAGGGTATGTAGAAAGGACATTGAAGCCAACTTGAAGGAACTCCAGATAACCAAATCTGAGACGATTTGAGCATCAAAATGAAAAATGATAATGATGGATTAAAACCTATAGAATAAAATAAATATCTATGAGTCAGTGCTGCTATAAACAAATAAATACATGGGGGAGAAAGGACGGCTTTTCCTTGTAATAGAATTCTAATTAATGAATGTAGAGCAAGTGATAGAAATCATCATTGGCAAACACCACAATAATAATTAGTGCAGGGACAAATCACCTATAGTTGTTAAAAAAAAACACAAAAAAAAATAAGTATGATGACAAACAGCATATTTGCATAGTCTCAAAGAATATTCACACAAGATGTCTGATAGATACTACTATATATTATTATTATTATTATACTAATTAATAATATACTCTCTATATTATTATTATTATTATTTTTAAATATATCTTTATTGATTTCAGAGAGAGGAAAGGAGGGGGAGAGAGAGAGATAGAAACATCAATGATGAGAGAGTCATTGATCAGCTGCAGCCTGCAACTGGGCATGTGCCCTGACCGGGAATCGAACCCTGATCACCTGGATCCTAGGTCGATGCTCAACCGCTGAGCCACACCCGGCCAGGCTCTATATTATTTTTACAACTTTGTAACCGAGTGACCAAAGCTAGTATCACCTGAAATGAGACATCCAGGACCTCCTTGTATGATGAACTGTTAAAGACACCAGAATGCAAAATCTCAATCTAATCATGAGCAAGCATCAGACAAATTCAAATTAAGGAATATTCTACAAAAGAACTGGCCAGTACTGGCAAGATTGTGGGGCAAAGAAGGAAAATTGAGGAACTGTTTTAGGATGGAGGAGACTGAGAGATGTGACAACTAAATGCAATGTGAGATCCTGTTTTGCTTCCTTGACCAGAGAAAGGACATTGGTGAAATTTGAGTAAGGTCTATAGAGTAGTTAATATTATTATTAACTAACATTGTATCAATATTAGTTTCTTGTTTCTATAAATCTACTTTGGTTCCACAAAACGTTAACATTGGGTGATGAGTATATAGGAACTCTCTATATTATTATTATTATTATTTTTAAATATATCTTTATTGATTTCAGAGAGAGGAAAGGAGGGGGAGAGAGAGAGATAGAAACATCAATGATGAGAGAGTCATTGATCAGCTGCAGCCTGCAACTGGGCATGTGCCCTGACGAACCCTGATCACCTGGATCCTAGGTCGATGCTCAACCGCTGAGCCACACCCGGCCAGGCTCTATATTATTTTTACAACTTTTTGAAAGTTAGAAATTATTTCAAGTTAAAAGTTAAAAAATTTGTTTACACCTTGTGCATTCAGCCCAGGTCTTTTTTTCTAAGCTCTAGACTCATATGTCCACCTGCCTTTTGGGCAGCTTCACTTTGATGTCTCAGAACGTTGCATTTTAACACATTTAAAACTGAAGTACTGATTCTCATATATATCCAGCTCCTCCCCACAGCCTTAGCAAATGATACCACCATCCACCTAATTGCTCAAGCCAGAATTCTGAGAGTCATTTAAAATCTTTTCTCCTCACTTTCCCCTTACATTGGATCCATTTCTTACTGATTCTATAAAATATTTCATGTATTTTCTAATTGTTAATAATATTTACTGACATGTCATTTCAAACTACCAACCATTTCTTACCTTGACTATTTCAGTAGTCTTTTAGCTGGTCTTCCACTCTGCAATCCATTCTCTTCATAGCAACCCAGAGTAATCTCTTAAAACATTAATTAGATATGTCGTTCCCCTGCGCAAACACTTAGTGATTTCCCATCACATTTAGAATAAAGTGCAAGTCCCTTATCTTGGCCCACAAGATCCGGCATGTTCTGACCCTGTCTGCCTCTTTGATTTCATCTCCTGGCATGCTGCTGCTTGTCCATATGCTTGCTGGCCTTTTCTCAGTTCCTTGGATGGGACAAACTCTTCCAGTTTAGACTCTACATCGGCTGTTCTTTTTGCCTGGAATGACCTTGTGACCATTCTTTTTCTAGCTGGTTCCTTCTCATCCTTCAAATTTCAGCTTAAATACCACTTATGCTAAAATAGGACATTCTGTTCTTTTTCTTTCATAACACTCATCACTGTTTGTCGTTACTATTTTTTTTCTTTATCGCTTATCATCTGTTTCTTCAAGTGGACTGTAAGCTCCATGAGGTCAGGCACCATGTTTGTCTTACCCCATCATCCCATTGTCCCACTCCCTGACACTTAATAGGCATTAAATAAATCTTTGAAACAACTAAATGAAGAAAGATAGTAACATTTGTCTTCAAGGATGAATAGAAAGAAGCTAGCCTAGAAAAAGTGAGATTTTTTTCTCCCCAGAAGGAGAGAACAATATAGGCAAAAGTAAGGAGGCAAGAACCAGCATGGTGAGTGTGAGTGTTTGAGGGTATAATTAAAAGCAGTTTTATGTTACTTAGTGTATGAAGCTTGAGTCAAAGATAGGTCAGAAGTTGGTGAAATAGGCTAGAGCTAGATCTTGAGGCTCTTAGTACCATATGAACTTACAAAACTTATATGAGCTTATGGAATTATTGGAAGACAATAGAGTAATATGGACAAACTTGCATTTTAAAAAGATCAGATTTGTGCCCGGCTGGGCTTGGCTCAGCGGTTGAGCGTCAACCTAGGATCCAGGCGATCGGGGTTCGATGCCCGGTTGCGGGCTCGATCAATGACTCTCATCATTGATGTTTCTGTCTCTCTCCCTCCCACTCCTTTCCTCTCTCTGTAATCAATAAA